AAATGCATGAAATATCAACTTACTTTTATAAAAAAAAAATATTTCCTAATTACAACAATATATTTTCAAATTATAGCAATTGGTAAGTTGTTATCTTTTAAACCGGTAAACCATTACTTTTTTTTTTACTTACTTGGCTTTAATGTGATGATGCGGATAACACATCATTTTGATGACATGACCAAAATAAAAGAAAACCTTTTTCAAATTATTTTTAACGATTTTCACTTTTCTTTACGATGACTAAAAAGACATTTCATTTTTTTGAACTTTTTTCTTTTTAAATTGCTTGCAAATTAAACATTCTACAGTAAAATATTTCTTAAATAATTATGGTACATTATTTTTAAGATAACTCTTTCTTTGTAAAAAAAAATGTAACACTTCTTGTTTCGTTTTGTTAAAAAATACACACCTTTTAACCTTTTTTTGAAATGTTAATGGGATAAATTATGCTCTACAAGTTTTCATAATATTGTTATATTAATGAATAATTCAAAAAAATCTTATTAATCTATTATATTTATATGTCAAGTTAAAAAAAATTAGACAAGTATGATATAGGTTTTAAAAGATAAATACTTTTTGGTGAAAAAACATGACAATTTTTATTTTCTTTTTTTAAAAAATACATTTTTAAAAAATGTTAGCGTGTTAACGAGAAAAGTTATGTTTTACTAATCTTTTTATCATTGGTATATTAATGAATAATTAAAAAAAAATCTAATTCATTTAATATATTGATTAAATAATATGTAAAATGATAAAAAAAAAAACCAAGTATAATGTTATTATAAAAAATATTACGTCAATAAAAATTTATACGTGGACATCCCATGTGAAAAATGACATGACATAGAAACTTGGTAACTTGTGTCATATTATCTTAATTTAAATCAAATGATACCCATCACAATAATCTTAATCTTGGAAGACTATTTTTAATTGAAATTTAGGATTAGAAACGTTTGATTAAATGTACAATGTCTAAATAATAAAATAACACAACTAAAAGTATAATGTTGTAATAGGAACGTAATGCTATAATAAAATAATTTTGTACGTACAATGCTACAATAAGAAAAGTCACATCGATGGTATGGGACATGCAGATAGCCTACGTGGATATGATTACATCCAGTTGCATTTTTCATATTTATACAATACTTTTCCGTATAAAATCATGAAATAACATAATTATAAATTTTAATTGTTTTTACTTGTACAAGTACGACCATTGATCTCAACCTTATTTTTGATAGGTATTCGTGTCAGCTTGTACGCGTCTCGACTAATCCAATGAGTTCCATATATCTTCTTGAAGATAACAGCTTTAGACCCTGACGAGACTCAACTGACGACCTATAGAAAAGAGCCTGCCTATCCTTCATTTGACTGTTGTCACCTCAATGTTCTGTGAAACTCCTAAATGTTTTCCTTTACAAAATGCTTGTAATACAAATGGCATGTAATTAAACTAACATAAAAATATATTTGCCTTTGTGACGACTTCATCATACTTTTTTCTGGTTAACCGATGTCTAGGCTAGCTTACGGTCACGGTCACCTTAAGTAATTTAATGGGCTCTTGGAGAATAGTAGGAAAATCCCCTATGATCTTAGATGATAAACTTCTAGGGAGGATCCACAATGGCATTTAGCTTGTATGGTAAAATGATATATTCTATTAAAATAAGTTACTGAAAAATGAGTGTTGTATTGAATACAATTAGGGGTGGTTTGGTTCACATTAGAGATGGCCAAATGGGCCCGGCCCGGCCCGTAACCGACGGAGGACCGGGACCGGGACCGGAGAGGGACCGGGACCGGTAGGGACCGGTTGAGGGACCGCCGGTTATGATCCGGTTAGGGTTTTTGACGTTTTTTGGGACCGGGACCGGGACCGGGACCGGGACCGGTTAAGACCGGGACCGGTTATGTAACCGGTTATAGGACCGGCCCGGCCCGGCCCGGTCAACGAAAGTCAACGAAACGTATATATATA